AAAAAAAAAAAAAAAGAAGAAATTAAGAAAATTGAGATACTTAATGGTTAAAAAAAGCTATTCAAATATAAATCACATACTCAGACGTCAAACTCATACTTAATACTGTAGATAGGCATCTCAATTGTTGTTGAAATTAGCATGATACTGAATTTGGATTAAAATGAGGCAACTGGACTCTAGCAGGTAGTATTTTGATTTACAGCTACATGATATGTTTTTCCCATTTATTTTTATTTTCTTTTCTGTAATCCTTACCCGAGGATATCTTTTTTCCATTGCTTTTCAGAGAGAGTGGAACAGGGGGAGAGAGAGAGAGAGAGAGAGAGAGAGAGAGAGAGAGAGAGAGAGAGAGAGAAACATCGATGTGAGAGACACATCCATTGTTGCCTCCCTCACGTGCTGGGCCAGGGGTCGAGCCCGCATCCAAGCTAGGTGTCCTTGGCTGGAGTCAACCCTTCCGTCCTTGGGCTGATGCTCTAAACACTGAGCCAAACTGGCCACGCTCCATTTACACTTGTCCTTACTCTTTACCCTGGTGGATAGAGCTAAGAGCAAAGAGCAGAAGTTTCATTTAATTTAGCTGAATGGATATTTCAATCCACAGGATACAAGATATTCTCAAAAGCTATGACTTTAAATTTGCAAGAACTAGGATCTAAAGCAAGAACCTATTTTTAATTCCAAAATCTTGGCCCCACTGTAATATACACAACAGGCTGAATGAGCTCTCAGCAGACAATGGTCAGGACAGAGGACAGCAAGCAGGCCAGATGCCAGACCCCAACACTTCCAAGGGGTCAGGTGCCTCAGGGAGAGGGAAGGGGTGAGGACCTTGGACATCTGAGTTGCCTGGGTTTGCCTGAAAGTGACCAAATTTCAACCAGCAATTTAGTCAGTAGTAAACTGCCTAGAATGGGAAAGGTTGCATTATCCACATCAGCAAAAATAGGGGTCTTGGAGCTCAATTAATTTTGTTAGTAATGAAATAAGTACAGGGGGAATTTTGTACCCATATTTGTATATATCATACCTATTACACGAGTTTCCAGGAGTACAACTTGATAAAGTCTGAATGCCATTTTTTTTTCACATATGAAATCTGAAAATGTGGAATGTTTGCATTTATTATCAGTTCTCAGAAATTTACTTTTGGAAAGGTTAATTGCAAGCAGTAAATTGTTTAGATTCTAGATAAAAAGATGACGACTGAGACAAAGAGTGAAGCTGCAGGGCACTCTGAGTGTGAAAGGTTATTGGTGGAAACATTAAATATTTAATCTCTCACATTCTTTCGACCAGACAAATGCATGACAAGAATGTTTGGCATAATAAACTTTAATGTTGATTTGGATGTTTATCCAAACTTCTGTATAATTTAGTTTTTCACATCCTTCCTAATTTTGGTGCTGTCTATCCTGCAACAGGACATACTCTCCTCACAATCCATTAAGGAATCAACTTCTTACCAGATTTTTCTCACTTGTATAGTTACCTGAACTTGAAACATTTGATGTATTTTCATAGACAAGATCTTTAATGATCCTTAATTAAGAAGTGTTTCTTGATACATAGGGCAAGTAAAGAAAAAAAGACTATTTCTGTTTCTTGGACAAAAAATAAACAAGCTCCTAGGAAGAGTCTGACATTCAAATTGTGTGACAGTTGGAAAGAAAAAAATTAACAGAGAATGGTGATGAATGAAAAGGAGAGTATCTAGAATTAGGTGACTACTTGGAGTATCCCAATACTGACTAATACAAAGAAATTTTAGATAGTATGTCACATAGGCATACTGCTGGTGAGAAAATCCTTCTTATCCAAATAATTTAGACTGGGTTGTACACCATGGAATGGCAACTAGTAAGAAGACCTCAAAAAGGAGCTCACGCAAGCCTCAGGGAGAGAAAAGCTGAGTCCACAGAGCCGTAAGTAAGGGAGTGTCAGGCTGTCCTACCCTAACAAGAGTTTCCCTTAAGTCCAGGTTCCCTCCAGCCCAGGAACACCCAGGTGTGCGTTACACGGAAACACACGGCAAAAGGTTTTCGCTAACGCCAAGTGCAGCTTAAATATGATCAATAATCTTTGGAAGTTTCAGCTTAGCTATGGCTCTTTCACGTAGAGTCCTTTACCTAATAAGAAAGAGATTTTTTTTAATGACTTTAGGGGAAAGGGGGTTTATTACAAGTACGTACACTCTTGAGCACTTAGGAAAAATTAAACTAGGCCTGATGAAGAACTGTCACTGTAGAGCTCAGATATTGCTCCCTCATCTCTGCTGTTCTCAGTCTTGCTCTTAATTTTATTCTTTCTATTTCCTCTCTCAGGAGTCATACATTCTTTTTCATTTATTCCTTTCATCATTCTCTCTCAGCTAGCTTTCTCCACATTATCATCTTGCACACACCATTATGGCTGTCAGCCCTTTATCTTGACTTTTTAGTTAAAAGCCTGGCATTTACTATGTACATTTTTTTATAACTTAGTTCAAGTTTCCAAAAAAGGAAATCTGATTGACTGAGCTTACTTCTACCTGAGAGAGCTTGTAGATTGGCCAAAAATGTAATCACTGTCCATTTCAGTCCAAATGCAGGCAACTTGTTCAACAATCTGAGCGAGAAGGAAACATGGAATGTGTTTGAATGGCAGGGTGTGTGGTACTGATTATGCAGCAAAGTCTTGCTGTTAATATGGTATGAAATCCAGATCATGGGTGAGAAGCCTAGAGTAGTATTTGAGCATCTGCACTCTGAAGTCAAACTCCAGGATTTGAATCACAGCTCTTCAAACCCCACTCCTCCTTCCTAAACCTAGACAATCCTCTTCATATGTTAGAGAATTAAATGAGATCATGTATGTGCCAGGCACCTGATAATTATTCAATAAATATTAAAAACCTGCACAAGAAAAGATTACCTTTTACACTGAAGTCAGAGGAAAGAAGAAAAGTTAAAGTCACAAACAGAATCCAAGGTGGAAAAAACAAGAAATGAATGGATTTTGCTCATGAAATGACTTCAGCCTTCATGGCAAAAGTAAACTCTGCCATCTGAAGCAATTTCTAATGATCTTAGTCTGACATGACCATAATTCCATATGAAAATACTAAAGGTTAACTTCAATGATAGCAACCTACACAAAACAATGTTGAGTGACATCTTTAAATATTTACACATTGCATAAAAGAATAATAATATAACATAACATAAACAATAGCAATAAACATGCTAGCATTTATTGAAGGTTTGCCATCTGTGTGGGCTTCTCTTAAGTGTTTTGCACATATTTATATGTAAACATATATTTATATGTATCATTCCTTTTATTACTTACATCAAACCTAGGAACCTCTATTATCATTATTTAGAGAAACAGAGACTGAGGTACAGAGTTTAAATAACTGACTGAAGTTGCAAAGGTAACAACTAACTGAGGCAGGGTTTACCACCTGACCTTCTGTAATAGATAATACAATATATTGCTTCTCTATCCAGAAGGAGGGACTTCAACAGCCTTCAAATATTTTTTAAAAATATGTCTTTATTGACCTGAGAGAGAGGAAGGGAAAGGGTGAGAGATAGAAACATCAATGATGAGAGTCATTGATCGGCTGCCTCTTGCAAGCCCCCTACTGGGGATGGAGCCAGCAACCCGGGCATGTGCCCTGACCAGGAATCGAACTGAAATCTCCTGGATCCCAGGTTGATTTCAACTGCTGAGCGGCGCTAACGGGGCACCTTCAGAACTTTTTCGTAAATATACTAACCATATGGATGAAATAATTTGAAAAAGATAAACCGCAAAGTCTATTTTATTAAATTACAATGTAATAGTAAATGTACAGTGATTTTAAAATATATAACTGGATGAAGAAATCAGTTGTATGTTTTTTAACTGATTTCCAAAAATCCTGGAAAGCAAAACAAGTAGTTACTCAAAAACAGTAATTTGAAATCGTAGTGTAAGCTGTTTCCTTTGGCTGCTTCCTCCACAACAGAAGAGGCTTCGGAGGGGTTTGGGGAAATTCGCCTAAAGAGAGTGGGAGAGACCTAAACAGGAAGCCTGGCCCTTCCCAAGCGCCAGTGAGCGGGCAAAGGTCTCCAGGGCTTTCTCTCCGGCGGGACAGCAGGCGCGCCTGAGGCTGGACGACCCGCAGGCCCCAGCCTAGCCCTCGCTCCCTCCCCGGAGGCTCAGGTCGCATTCCCTTCCTAATTCTCCACGCCCCCGTTTCTTGAACTGTTTAAAAGAAGACATACGAAAGGCCAATCCTCATTTCAATGCCTGGAAGGGAAAACATAACCTCAACTCCACTTTGAAAACAATCTTTGCGAGAACTTTCTTCAGAGATTTTACATGTGAGTACTTGGAAATATGCTTTCTAGCCCATGAGCAGTGACGTTTATTTCTTTTGGGGGGTGAAAAGCGGGGTACTTACTGAGAGGTAAAGAGGGGTAGGGGAGGACCATGGTCTGTAGCCCTAAAAGGAAAATTGGCTCTTTTCTGTAAACAAAGTCAATTCATACTGCAATGCAAAATTAAGTTCTCAGCACTTTGCATTTAGTTCTTAAGCAAATATATATTCAACATATGCTTTTTAAAATTATAAACAATTTTGTAAGAAGTTGGTCAGATGTAGCCTTTTTTGTAATTTTAAGTTTGTAGTGGCAATCCTTCACTAATTACGTCTAATTGAATTTTCTGAAGATATGGTTTACCTTTATTATTCAGTGATGTGTAAAGAAATATAATAAAGACTATCAGAGAGCCTTATGTTTAAAGAAACTTCTTTCATGAGCATTAATGATATTTAAAATGAGATGTAAACATTCGAATCCTTGTCATCTAAATTATTTTATGCCAACATTAACAAATCTCTTTATGGAAATATTTTACAAGTCTCCAAAGACCACAGCTCATATTTTAAGATACTTAAATAAGAATATACATAATCAAGTCTATATGTATAGTAATTATGTAAATTAAGGTAATAGATTATATACCTACATGACATACTGTCTTGTGCTTCTTGGTGATGAAACTTTGCTTCTGGTAGCAAAGGAAAGCACATACTATAGAAATATATGACCACAGAACTACCACAAAAGCTATTTAATTATGTAAAAACCTCATTTGTATTAGAGTATTACCAAAAAATGAGGACGAAAAGCAGTTGCATGTAAAAAAAAAAAAAAAGATAAGATAAGCAACAGCCACACTGTAACTAAGAGCTCTGGGAATTAGTCACAAAATGATAATATAAACACAAGTGGCAAAAGCCAGGCAGGAAGCATACAGCCCAGAGAGTCATATTTTATGTGTAAAAGCACAATATTTACTTCAGAGGGTCAAGTTTTATCAATCTGGAGTTATTGCAAAGGTTTTTAACCTAACAAAATCCTTTCATAAAACATTTTTAGGATTCTTTTAAATTCATCATTCTAGTACATTATTATTTTAAGACATGTTATGTATATCTCATCTAGTCCTTAAACTAAAGACTGAATAATATTGTTGGAAATGTAGTAGAGCATGAAATTTTAATTTGGGGCCTATAGGCTAATAAAATGATATAAAATATTCAAAGAGATCTACACAGATTAAAAACCAGTAATGTAAATACAGATAGTTAACATAGATGTAAGAGTAAAACTTTAAAATACTTGAAGCAAAGAACAAATTTGTCTTCATCAGGTGACCATAGAATCTTGTTGGAGAACTTTATGACATTTATACTACTATTTGTTTCCTCTTGATATTAGGCATGCTGAGTTGGACAATTTTTTTGTAAAGGTGCAGGCTGGTATCTTTAAGTATTTGTTTTACCTCCAATAACTAGATCAATACTCCTTTGGGAAATCTGACTACTGTTCAAATGAATTATGACATCAGTTGGTGCTTACTGGTCTGATTGTCCATAACTCTAGCCTTTATTTTTTGGTTGGTTGTACAACTATTTCAACTAGAATCATCTATTGTTGCTAAATTTAAAAAATAATAATAATCTGTGAATTGGAAAACTGTTTTTGTATTAAACTATAGTTTTCGTAACACTAATTTATTCCATTCATAAGAATTAAATTCCCGATCTTAGTTATATCTATATTATTCAAATTCAAAAGTTAATTGGACAGGATAACAAATACTGGAGGGAAAAGGCCAACTTCAAAAGGCTTTATTTATTCCCTAGCAATCTAACAAAATTAAAAATGGAACTGCCATTTGCCCCAGTGATCCCACTTCCAGGAATATCCTAAGAAGCCAGAAACACGAATCAGAAAGAATATATGCACCCGTATGTTCATAGCAGCACAATTTACAATAGCTAAGATCTGGAAAGAGTCCAAGTGCCCATCAGTAGACTAGAGATAAAAAAGCTGTGGTACATTTATACAATGGAATACTATACAGCTATAAAAAAGAAAAATTCCTTACTCTTTGAGACAGCATGGAGGGACCAGGGGAGTATTATGCTAAGCGAAATAAGCCAGTCAGAAAAAAACAAGTATCATATGATCTCACTTATATGTGGAATCTAATGAACAAAATAAACTGACGAGCAGAATAGATTCAGAGACATGAAAGCGTGGAACAGACTGATGAATCTCGGGGCGGGGGGGTGGAGCAGGAAGAGATTAATCAAATAATTTATATGCATATATGCATCACCCATAGACACAGACAATAGTGCAATGAAGGCCTGGGAGAGAGCAGGAGTGAGGTAGAGCGGGTCAATTGGGGGAAAATATTGGGACATTTTTATAAAGATAAATTGAAAAAATAAATAGTCCTATACTTTTTAAAATTGAATTTTTTAACTGTAACCTTCCCACAAAGAAAACTTCACCCCCAGATGGTTTCACTGGTGAATTCTACCAAACATTTAAAGGAGAAATAACATCAATTTCACATTAACTTTTCTAGGAAATTTAACAGAAGGGAAGGAATACTTGAAATTTCATTCTGTGAGGCCTGAATTACGCTGATACCAAAATCAAAAGAAAAAGATGTGATAAACAAAAAACATTAGCCTCTAACACAGCACTATCAGGTAAAAATATGTTCCAACTTCCATCATGAAACAAATCAGGAATATCTTGTTTTCATTTTTTAAAGTATAGGTATCCCAGTATTATAATAGTTGTGCTTTTTTATTCTATTAATCAAGAAATTATAAAGAGATCATTGTGGTTCTAGAATTCTTCCAACTAAATTCGTTTTCATAGTTTCTTTGCCATTTTATCATGGTACAGTAGATATAGAATAAGTTTGCTATTTTAACCATTTTTAAGTGTACAAGTCAGTGGTGCTCATTACATTCACAGTGTTGTGTAATCATCACCACTGTTCCCCAAAACAATTGTTCTCTATAAATCTCTTTAAAGAAGAAAATGTCTTTTTAAGTTCACAACAAAAAGGAAAAGATTTAGCAAATAACAGAGACCCTCACTGCCTAACCCCTTTTCTACTGTAATACCTCAGCTGCGATCATGAATCAGATGGTACAGAACAGAAGCTACTGTCCTGTACATCAATTCTTTTCAGTTGAAATTCAGGGATAATTTTCTCTCAGCTAGTTTGCTGCATGGGCTAACTATGAAATAACTGGAAAGTTTTATTTTAAAACTGTTTCATCACCCAAACAGCAACTCTGCATTTACTAAGCGGTAACAACATTCCTGCCTCCCTCCAGATTCGGGTCACCTCTAATCTACTTTCTGCCTCTGTAAGTTTGCCTGTTCTATATATTCCATATAAGGTGAGCTACTCACTATTTGCTCCTTTTTGTCTGGCTTATTTCACTTAGCACAATGTTTTCAAGGTTCGTTCCTATAGCATGAATAAGAAATTCATTTATTCATTTGTATTTATGTCTATTTGAAATTAGCTGCGCAAAAATGAGCAAGAGTATATATTATATTTTGTTACGGCAGCCCCAGTAGACTAAGACAGCTCCTATGAGCTACACACACAAAATCACTTTTATCCTTGCCTGGTGAAGATCCCTGTTAAGTCGTGGCTCTTTGAAGTGAAAGCAAAGAAAAGCCACTTTCAGCTGGGTCTAATTCAGCCTTCTCACCAAACCTTAAACCTGGACCAGATCCTTGAAGGTTGCCTATCTTTAGCATCGAGGCTCTTTTCTTCATTATTTTTTTTACTAGCTGGCCTATCAACATAAACTTCATTTATAACATTGTGTGCTCAGAGTTCAAAGAAACTTACCCGACCAAATGGCTGGGAACACAGCTCCCCTAGGATGGCGGTTGCCTTAATCAAATCTGTGGTGCCGTTTTCAGATCTTTACTTACCGCTTTCATGACAACAAATCACACTAGTCATCCATGAGTTAATGTATAAATACGATTTTTACTAATATTTAAATTTTCTTTGCCAACACTTTTTTTTATCCGACAGTATAAAACAATGATTAAAGGCATTGTTTTGGTGCCACTTACAGGCTGTTTTCTTGGAAAACTTATTTTATCATTTTGAATCACTATTTACTTCCTCTACCAAATGAGAATAACAACATTATTTTAGGGTGAGTGTGAGATACAAATTAAAAAAAAGATAATGAAGATTATTGGGAACTGCTATTTGCATTATGATTTATTAATGTTAAAATAACAAGCTGTAATTTAACCGCCCTATGGTAAGAAAACTGGCTTAAAAGCAGTCATCTAAAGAGAAAATCTAATCAAAGACTTAATCTACAATATGAAAATTAATCCTGGGTAATTCAAGAGCGGAATAAAATGACATGTTTGAAATGGGGCTGTAATAAAATAGGAATGTCCCCTTTTCATCTCTGGCCTGTGTGTGTGTGTGTGTGGTTTCTATTTTCTCTAAAGTTTGGGGAGGAAAGAGAAAACATGATACTTAACAGATTTCAAGTGCCTCTTTTAAAGATGTTCTCTTGAGTAGGCTTGTTCTAATCTACTCATTCAGGCTTTGACTGCTGGGTCAGCTTCTGTGCCCTGTTCCCAGGTGCTCCTCTCTAACATGGTTAGCTAGGGCTTGGGCCAAGACTAACTTCGTATGGGTAGTGATGTGGAAATATTTACACAATAATAAATATCATCGCTAATGATGTATAGAGTTTAAACCAGGAGTAGGAAACTTTGGGGCAACTCACTGAATCAAAAATTATAAAAATGATCATAGTAAAAACTGATATTAGTTATTGAGTTATATTTGTAGGATTAGCCAACCAGGAAATTCAATTTTTATCCAGTAGCTCCTTTGATGATGTTGCCTAATCGTCTTCCTTAAGTCACAATAAAGGTAATATTTTAAAGAGAAATTATATAGAAAGACATAAGTAATTAGTATATTTTATTATATTTACCTGAATTGG